TTCATCTGTCCATGGTCCAAATGAAGATTCACTATTTTTCAAGAGATCATTTAAAGGTTTAGCTTTTTCAGTGAACCCTTCAATGAATTCTCTGGAAAAATTCATTAATCCTAGGAACTGGCGTAAGGCCTTGTGTGAAGTCGGTACAGGAAGAGAAGAAATAGGTTTGATTCTTTCGTGCACTGGCTTCTTGTGTCCTGGACCAATGTGTACACCCAAGTATTGTACTTCTGGTTGCATCAGTGTTACTTTGCGTGTATTCAGTTTTAAACCAGAATCCTGCAAAAGGAAAAATAATTCATTTAACAGAATCAGGTGTTCTTCCTTCAGTCTGCAAAAGCATATCATCAACATATTGTAACAAGCATTCTGGCCTAGAAAACGTAGACAAAACTTTTGCCAATGCCTGATGAAAATATGTTGGAGAACTGTGAAAACCCTGGGGTAACACAGTAAACACATATTGCTGATTTTGAAATGTAAAAGCAAACTTATATTGACAACTATGCTTCAGTGGTACAGAGAAAAACCCATTACTTACATCTAGTACTGAGTATACCTTAGCCGTTGACATCAATCGTGACATTATATCTGGGGTTTCTGCCACCATGTGTGCAGAAGGGGGGGTGTATTTATTTAATGTACGTAAATCAATTGTTAATCTCCAGGAATTTGAGTATTTTTTCAATATTGGCCACAGATTATGATTGCATGGACTATTTACTTTTCTAATTATTCCTCTCAGTTCCAAATCACTAATGACACTTGCAATAGAATCAATTGAATCTGGGGGTAATTTATACTGCCTCTGTGGGAGTGGATCAGGACTTTGAATGTCAATCAGCACATTTTTAAACCTTCCACATGCATTTTTACTTTTGTGCCCATAAATCTGGATAACTCTGTACAATCTCTTTAAGTTCAAGGTTATCCCTAGTATTAGGCCATTGCATTTCTGTAGACACTACATCTACTGGACAAACAATTCCTAGCTCCCCATATTCAGTAGGATCCAATAGCACTGGTTTCCTACCCTTAGCATCTTTCCAAATAGCTTTGTTTCCCAAATCAACAATCCAACCTCTTTTTTGCATAACATCTGTGCCTATGATATTATCAACATTTTTGCAGTACCAGATATCAATTTTTGTTTTTAAACACTGAGGTATTTCTAAAGTAACATTATTTACTAATGTTACCATAGATCCTCCACTTCTGTCAAATCCTACAATTGTACATATAGGTGCACATGCTGATAAAGGTAGTTGTAAACTAGTTATACTTAACTGAGCACCTGTATCAACAAGAAATTCTGTGTCATAACCTTTTAAAGAACATTTAATGTATGGTCTACCACATCCATCTAAATTTAATCGAGC